TCCGGGTTTTTTCGTCCGTTGGAATTTTTCATCGTCGGCTTTTGTAAGAGAGAATATGTTTTTGTTTGCTCATTTGAAAGCTTTACAAGGTTCAGTTTAGGTGAGATGTGATGCTCCGCTCATTTTCAGGTTTTTTTTTCTTTTTTTTTCGAAAATCAATTGGCATCCCTGTGTATTCTCCTGCCGCCCGTGGGTGGTGTGCGGGTGCTCTGGTGTGGTTTGCTTCTTCTTTCCTATCAAACATCTATCTTCCTTATCTCTCCTCCTTCTTTTTTGTGTTTGTTACTCTTTAACTCTTGCAACACCTCTAATCTTCGGCACCTATATGACCTTATTGTGTTGCAAATTTTTATTTTTTTAGTAAGCGTTTAACGGCACTTGCAACACAATAAGGTCATATAAGTGCCGAAGAATAGAGGTGTTACAAGAGAGTAACAAACATAAAAAAAGAAGCAGAGATCAGGATGAAAGATGTTTGATAGGAAAGAAGGAGCAAACCACACCAGAGCACCCGCCAACCACCCACTTGTGTTGCAAGTGCAGTAAAACTCTTACTAAAACTAAACTAAACACCCTGTTCTCCTGTGTTCTCCTACCCCCCCTCCCAGGCCCGAGGTATTTGAGTGTAAGATCTGCTGCGTGACGGTCACAGCCCAGGAACACCTGACCGCTCACCTCAACGGCACCAGGCACAAGCTGCAGCTGAGGAAGATGGACATCAACGACGCTCACAGAGGTCAGTGGGTCATTAAAGGGGTCACAGAGGGGTCAGTGGGTCATTGTATAGGTCACAGGTCGGTGGGTCGTTGTAGAGGCCACAGAGGTCAATTTGTCATTATATGGGTCACAGAGGTCAGTGGGTCATTGTAGGGGTCATGCAGGGGTCAGTGGGTCATTGTGGAAGTCACAGAAGTCAGTGGGTCATTGTATAGATCATACAGAGGTCAGTGAGTCATTGTAGAGGTCACACAGAGGTAGGTGGGCGGGAGTCACATAGAGGTCAGTGGGTCATTGTTCAGGTCATACAGAGGTCAGTAGGTCATTATAAGGGTCACAGAGGTCAGTGGATCATTATAAGGGTCACAGAGGTCAGTGGATCATTATAAGGGTCACAGAGGTCAGTGGATCATTGTAGAGGTCACAGGTCTGTGGGTCATTGTAGGGGTCACACAGAGGTCAGTGTAGGGGTCACACAGAAGTCAGTGTAGGGGTCACACAGAGGTCAGTGTAGGGGTCATACAGAGATTTGTGGGTCATATCGATGTCACAAAGGTCGGGTGGTTATCGTAGAGGTCAGTGGGTCATTATAGTGGTCAAAGAGGTCAGTGGGTCCTTATGGTGTTCAAAGTCGCAGAGGTTGAGGTCACAACATCAGCCTTGTTGCTGGTCCCTGCATTAAATGAAAAGCAAGAATTTTATTTCAAATTCATAGAGGTGGTTGACTCTCTTTCTCTCTCTTGCCCTTTTTAACTCCCAGTGGAGCACAGGCCATCAACAACATTACTCCAGCGAAGCCTGTCCTGGGCATCCTTTTCTATCTGTTTCCATGATGTCCCCGCTTTTTCAATTTCGGCTTATACACTCCATATTCTCTCCTCTGTGATGAAGGTCCTCCATCTTCCAGAACTGGAAGTCGTTGTGTTGTTTTTGTAGCTGCTTTTTGTTTTACGGGAAAGGGTGGCTAACCCCTTGCCCAACCGACCTTAGTCACCTTCTACGACATGCGCGGTACGGATACAGTGATCCTATTCTTTGCTCCCCTGTCTCTTGGACAGGGCCCCGAGAACCACATGGGTTGGGTGGTTGACTAGTGTTCTGCTATAGTTTGCTCCTTGTGTCCTATCAATGATCGAACTTCTGTTGTCTTTATGTCTCCTTCTTTTCTTTGTATTTTTCTTTAAACACCTCTAATCTGCATCACTTGTGTGGGGGTGGTTGGCGGGAGCTCTGATGTGGTTTGCTTTTTTTTTTTCCTAACATCTGCCGTGCTTATCTCTTTTCCTTCTTTTCGTTGTGTTATACTCTCTAGTAACACCTCTAAACTTCGGCACTTATGCAACCTAATTGTTTTGTGTGTGCCGTAAAATTCTTACAAAGACGAAAACTTTTCAGTTGATCATGTTTCTGTTTTCAGGTGGCCTGAGAGGAGGGGGAGGACGAGGCTATTCCTTCGGCTTCGGAGGGAGGGGAGGAAGAGGAGGTCGAGGAGGGGGAGGAGGAGGAGAGGGAGGTTCGTGGCAAGATGGCGCTGAGGGAGGCAGAGGTCGCGGGGGTCGTGGCCGAGGGCGGTGAGTAATGATGATAATAATAATTAGGATAATAATGATAATAATAGATTACATTTATATAGCACATATCCCTGCTCTACGGCATGCTCTGTGCTTTTGCAATCTGTTAATGCCCCAGCAGACTCCAGAAATCTCAGAAGCATTTCCAGCCTGTGGGAGAGCCACTGGAAAAAACGGACGGGAAATAAACTCAACAATATTAAACCCAAACTGGGACCACGAAATCCTTCGGACGTCTCCTGAAGAGACAAAGTCATTTTTACTCGATTACTCATCGGACACACGGCCCTAACACACAAATACCTCCTTCAGGGAGATGAGAAGCCGTTCTGTGTCGGATGTGACACAGATTTTACCATTAGACACGTTTTAACCGAATGTCTAGACTTCGGAGAGATCCGAATGAAGTATAGTCGAACCTGCCCTGACGGCCACCTCTATAAGACAGCCACCTGTACAAACGGACACTTTCCATTTCCCCCCTTGCGTTTTTTCTATATAATTTAACTGTGTAAAACGGGCACCTTTCCAACGCGGCCACGGCCACCCTATTTCAACACACAACCCCTATCACACTTAACAATAACACCTGTCTTAGACGGCCACCCTAGTGACTCCATTACGCTTCGTCATAAATCAAGCACTGGCCCCTAGCGTTGCGGACGAGCCGTCATAATCCAAGAACCTGTCCCTCCAACTGATCATGTTGCGTAGGCCCCTCCCACTGTTGACCAATAGGTAACAAAATTAATTTTCAGCTGCTGGGGAGGGAAGCATGTGATCGTTCATAACCCATAAGCCCCGCCCAGAACCCATACACAAATCGCAAGTGAGATGAGTGGTCACTGTTTACCCAGTCTGTAACAAAGTAACAATGGACGTCAGCATGAACTTGTGACAGAAGCGTCGCTCGTTCTCCTAGTGGTAGTACGGGTGTTTGTTTTACCATAGCACTTGGTCCTCCTTGTCTGACACATTTCGTTTTATTGTCACCCGTGCACAAAAGCTGCAACAAAAGAAAAGAAAACCCAGCGAAAACAACAACAACAATGCAACTACCTTTGGTTTGGGACCTCAGAAAAGGAGGGTTTGTTTTCTGAGAAAGGAATGGTTTGTTTTCTTCATCTTGATCAGTCCTGCCTAAGACAGCCACCTGTCTTATACGGCCACTTTTCTCCTTGACAATGGGTGGCCGTCTTACACAGGTTCGACTGTGCTTTAAATGCAAAAAATTGCAAGACATTTTTTCCGTCGTTTTTCCAAACAGAATTTTGGATTTATGAAGGCCATTGGCCTTTATGGGAAATTGTAGAACAAAATTTAATTAGTAAAAAATTTTATGAAAGTTGTTTTAGATAGAAAACATATATTTGCACCAAATATTAAACATTTTAACGTTTTAAGATCAAATGACCTGTACCCAGCCATACAGTGAACTGCGAATAAAACTAACTTGTGTTTCGCGCACTTGTATGACTTTATGCAGTTGCGAGCGCCGTAAAACCCCATACTATACTAATCAGAAACATTCTCAGCTTCCCAAGAAGCATTCATTGCAAGCTTCGGATAACACATGCTTTATAAACCCAATAAACTGACAAGGTCTTTCACCGTCGTCTATGGCCGGCTACCCATTCCCACGTTGGTGAAGTGAGGAGATCAGGAGTACGACGAGGATCATGTTGATAATTTTTTGTCACTTTAGTTGATTTTGGTGATTCATTCGTAGAAGCTTCAAGTCCTTAGATCTATAACTATTTCTTTGTTGGTAATAGATTCTGATGGAATTTTTTTGTTGTTGTTGGGGTTTTTTGTGGTTACGTAAGTGTTTTGCAGCATTTGCAACACAAATAAGTTGTGTAAGTGCTGTAGTTTGCTTTGATGTATTCTTTAAAGTAAAAATGATTATTGGTACATTGTAATTATTTATTTATTAGAGTTGAAATATTTATTGGTTCATTGTAATAATATATTTTGTTTTGATGAGATAAAATGTTTATTGGTAGAGTTTAATGATTTATTTGATTGAATCGAAAGTATTTATAGGTAGATTTTAATTATTTATTGGTTAGAGTTAAAATGTTTACTGGCAGATTTATTCGTTAAGAGTGAGAGTATTTGTTGGTACATTGTCATAGCTGCCAACCAGTACAATAAAATTGCATTTAGTACGATTCTCATTCCGACATCCTCGGTACGATGGTACGATTTCGCATTGAAAAATACAATTTCTCGGGGGGGGTTTTCTAATAACGCAGCGAGAGTTTGTTTCGGGGAAAAAAACGTTCCACTATTTTAAATCGCTGATGAGCCCTCAAGTACTTTGGTACTCTGGTCCTCGTGGGAATTAATGAAGGAGAGAGTCTGATTTTAAGTTTTGAAAAGTTGGCAGCTATGCATTGTAATGATTTATTGGTTAGAATTCTGTGTGGTTTTATCCCTTTGTGTGACTGCCCAGCCTGTGACCTACTTCTGGTTCTGTTTCAGAGGACGGGCTGATTTTTCTGGATCAGGTAATAATGATGAGTCGGAAATAATGGTAGAGGGCAGTCAGTTGCCGGTGATAGTCAGATAGCAGTTACAGATATAGACATATTAATGTGTGTGGTTGGCGGGTGCTCTGGTGTGGTTTGCTCCTTCTTTCCTATCAAACATCTACCATTCTTTTCTCCCCTTCTTCTTTTTTATGTTTGTTACTCTCTTGTAACACTTAATCTTCCGGCGCTCATGTGAACTTATGCAGTTGCGAGCGCCGTAAGACCTCTGCTAAAACTAACACTAAGACATATTTATCTTTTCAGAGAGAGATAGATAGATAGATACCTGTCTACTCAGGTGGTAGTTTTGTTATTTTGAATAATTTCCAGTTTGGTAAGTGGGTGGTTGAAGGGTGTTTGTGGCATGTGCTGCTCGGTGACTGTCCCTGCACTGTTGATGTTTTGTTTTGTTTTTTCCAGCACTGCGCGAGTTTGATCTTGCCATCGTGCTTTTTTTTTTCTTTTTTTTTTTTCTTTTTTTGACCTTAACTGAGTTCATTTCATGTGTTAGTCTTGGATTAACTCACTGTGATAATAAGCACTCTGTTTTCCAAAGGTTTCTGTATGGGTGGGTGGTTGGCAGGTGCTCTAGTGTGGTTTGCTCCTTCTTTCCTTTCAAACATCTCTCACATCTATCCGTGGGCGGTTGGCGGGTGCTCTGGTGTGGTTTGCTCCTTCTTTCCTATCAAACATCTGTCGTCCTGATCTCCACCTCCTTTTTTGTGCATGTTACTCTCTTGTAACTCATGATCTGTTCTTAGGCACTTATATGACCTTATTGTGTTGCAAGTGCCGTGAAACTCTTACTCAAATTTAAACCATCTATCCTTGTGTCTCCTCCTCCTCTTTTTCTTTGTATGTTACGTTACTCTCTCGTCGTAACACCTCTACTCTTCTGCACTTATTTGACCTACTTGTGTTGCTAGTACCGTAAAGCTCTTACTCATACTAAATACAATCTACTAATGAAAGATTTCAGTATAAAAATATTTTTCTAAGTTTTTAATAAGCACGTTATTTCCCTAAGGTTTTCAACAAGCATGTTATTTTTCCAAAAGGTTTCAATTCAATTTATAAGCATGTTATTTTCCAAATGTTTCAATAAGCACGTTATTTTCCAAAGTTTTTTCTGGTAAGCACGTTATTTTCCAAAGTTTTTTCTGGTAAGCACGTTATTTTCCAACGTTTTTTTAATGAGCACCAACTGTTTACACTAAGCATGTTATTTTCTAAAGGTTTACAATTAGCATGTTATTTTTCATATGTTTCAATAAGCACATTATTTTCCAAAGGTTTCAAGCGACCAAATGAGGAGTTTTATGGCGCCCCTTCTGGTTTCCATGGACCAACGCGCTCGAAGCGACCCAGATTCTGAACATTTTCATGAGCTTTACACAGCTGGAATTTACCCGGGACTAGACGTGTTCTGACCCACCTACTTGTTTTACTGTGTTCTTCATCAGTATTTTCAATCCAATTGAGTTTTTATATGAGTACATGATGTATTTGATATCACAATGGTATTGTTCAGAAATGGTGGATATTTTTTAATTTTTGATTGTTAAATAATGATGAAGAGGAGAATTTCTACGGAAGTTTTAATCCTTGTACAGCACAGGTTGTGTGGTTTTTACTTTCCAAGTTGAGAAACGTGTTTTATTTGATTTTGATCGTGGCCTGTTTTATGATTTTAACCTTTTCGTTCATTCCGTTCTGTTGAAATGAGAGTTTTATTGATTGTTCTGTAGGTGGTTAGACTCCCAGCTTTGTCCTGTACAGAATAAAAACTCTACGTCGGCCACTCAAAGATTTGTTGGAAGTGTCGTATCTTCTCTCCGAGTGTGGGACACTCCCAGTGTGGGTGGTTGTCGGGTACTCTGGTGTGGTTTGCCCCTGTTTGCTGTCAAACATCTATCGTCCTTATCTCCCCTCCTTTCTTTTTTGTGTTTGTTACTCTCTTGTATCACCTCTAATCTTCTGGTGCTCATATGACCTTATGCAGTTGTGAGCGCCGTAAGACCTCTTCTAAAACTAAAAAACCTCTACTAAAACTTTAAAAAACCTCTTTTGTAACACCTCTAATCTTTTGGCGCTCATATGACCTTTATGCAGTTGCGAGCGACGTAAACGTCAACTAAAACTAAAACTCCCAGTGTGTCGTCACTACCTTTGAATTGTTTCGTCAACAATCTTCTCCCTCTACCTCTAGCCGGTGTTTTCGGTGTCGTCTTCATTTTCTGTGAGAGGGTGGGATGACCATTGTCTGGGATGTGTGTGTGTGTGTTTGGTGCTTTGCAGCTTCTCTGTCACACACGGGAGACCCGAGAATTTTTATTGAGTTGAGTTTCTCTGTCTTTCTGTTGGGATGTTGTATCTCTCTCAGCCTGGTTAAGTCCTGACAGTGGGTGGTTGACAGGTGCTCTGTTGTGATTTGCTCCCTCTTTCCTATCAAACATCTATTGTCCTGATCTCTCCTTCTTTTTTTATGTTTGTTACTCTCTTGTAACACCTAATCTTTGGCACTTATATGACCTTATTGTGTTGCAAGTGCCATAAAACTCTTATTTTAAAAAGTTCTGACCCTCAGGATTGAAGCCCGCCTCCTCCTAAATGATTGAAATTGTGTGGATGGAGATGTAAAAACACCTATCTCTTGAGGAAAATTTTATTTTTACGTCTTGCTACTGATGGGTGTTGGTGTTTTTTGTTCTTGTATGTCTGTGGTGAGATGGGGGGGGGGGGGGGGGGGGGGGGCTGGGTTGAGTCAGGGGGGGGGATGACTCATCTCACCTGTTGCGGGCTGTGTGTGTGTCTAGTGTGGTCTGCTCCAGCTACTTTTGGTTAATGGGTTACCGTTGTTGTTGGTGTCCGTGTGTATGTGTGAGCTCAGTGTCAATACAGACTGACCGACAACCCGACATGTTTGTTCAAGTTCCAGTGAGGACTTGCTCATTTTTGTTATCTGTGTGTCCATGTGTGAGTGTGTGTGTGTGTACATATTTTTGTTATCTGTGTGTCCATGTGTGAGTGTGTGTGTGTGTGTGTACATATGTGTGTGTGTGTGTGGAGGGTGATCATCTCCTTGTTTATTTATAGCACAGGTGACTATCCGCTGACGTGTGAGATGTTTCTGTTCGATGATAGCACTTGTGTCTATCCACAGATTATTTTTCTGCTTAATGATTGTACATGTGTCTGTCTATCCACAGATGCATGTGATTATTTTTCTGCTTAATGATTACACATGTGTCTATCAACAGATGTGTGTGATTATCTCTGATGATAGCACATGTCTATCAACAGATGTGTGTGATTATCTCTGTTTGATGATAGCACATATCTATTCCCAGATGCGTGTGATTATTTTTCTGTTTAATTATTGCGCTTGTGTCTGTCCACAGATGCGTGTGATTATTTTTCTGCTTAATGATTGCACTTGTGTCTATCAACAGATGTGTGTGATTATCTCTGTTTGATGATAGCACATATCTATTCCCAGATGCGTGTGATTATTTTTCTGTTTAATTATTGCGCTTGTGTCTGTCCACAGATGCGTGTGATTATTTTTCTGCTTAATGATTGCACTTGTGTCTATCAACAGATGTGTGTGATTATCTCTGTTTGATGATAGCACATATCTATCTACAGATGTGTGTGATTATTGATGATAACACATGTCTATCCACAGATGTGTGTGATTATTGATGATAACCATAACACACGTCTATCCACAGATGTGTGTGATTAACACTGTATTTGATGATTGCAAGTGTTCCGCAGTGCCGTAAAGAACAACTAATAATACTGTCTGCGCTTTTTTAGACGAGTTCGGCAAAGTCCTTTGCGAGCTGGAAAACTTTTTTTTTTCCATTTTCCATCCATGACAACATCAACAACTGGCTGAAGAAGAGCTGAAGGATTCTGTTTGCTCCACACAAATCTAGATGACACCAATTAAAGTTCTGATATTCACAGATACATCATGCTGACGGACAGAAAAAATTGTGTGCTTTTATTGGACAACACTGATTGTGTGTGTGTGTCTCCTTCTCT